CACACCCTGATATCTTTTCCAAGGTGGGTGGAAAAGAAAGTGACGCCTCCTCCCAGAGCCGGGTTGGGCCCTGTGCTTGGCCCTAGCGGCAGGGACCCTTCTCCCGTTCGTTCCAAGTAGTGGTTTCTGGGCTGAGGAGAGAAGGGCCCGGGCTTCGCAAAGTCCCCTCTTCGGGGCATAGCACATGGTTTCTATGGCCACCCTCCGAGGACAAGGGCTCCAGGCGAAAACCGCTGTGTCTCTTCCCGGCCCTGCGTGGCACTCGGGCGCAGACCCGCGTCCACCAAAGCCCTAGACCTCATTTCTCTCAAAATAAAACCCAACGAGCTCTAAAGGGTCCCTACTCCAGTGGAAAGGTCCTCTCAGATTTATGGCTCCCGATTTCCCCACACTCTGATTATCCCTGTTTTTAGTTGACTTACTGATGGTGACCAATAAAATAATTTTACATTTTGGATTTTTTTCCCCCAACGTGAAAAATGCAAGTTTTCTTCTGTTACCCGCTTGGGCGGATCTTTTTCCGTGCTGCAAGAAAAGAAACCCGGTCTCCCTCTGCCAGGGGCCTGGCCGCCCTCACCCCTCGCAGCCTGCGCAATTGCAGTGTTGGGGGGAATGATTTTTTTCTTTCTCTCGCGCAAGGGCGCCTCCGGGACCCCTCCCTGGAAGCCCTGCCCGTGCGGTGCGGGCCGCTTGGGCTCCGAGCCCCACTTAAGGGTCGTGGCGCTCACCCAGCGGCGGAGCGGGCTTCCCCAGGATTCCCGCCCCAGTCCGGTCACCCCTCATCCCTCGCCCTCCCCGGGCGGCACAGGGCGCGCGCCTGGGCGTTGCGGGGTCCGCAGACCGACCCCTCGACGCTGCCTGGCGGCCCCATCCCCCACCCTCCCTTTGTTCGCCTCTCCGGACACTGAGTTGGAGGTGGCAGGAAAAAAATAGTTAGATGGAAATCAAAGATTAGACGGGGTGCGCTGGCGGTCTGGGCGAAGCCGGCCGACACTCGGCTGCCGCCTCGTAAATCTTTTTCGCAGGCCTGACAAAGCCGAGTCTTCCAGTTCCCTGGGAACTCAGAAACTTATCGATCTCCTCCTGCCGGCCCCCAGACACCCCTCTTCCGGAGCGAAGGCGGAGAGCCCGTGGTGACCCCGACTTTTGGCCAGCCCAGGACGCCCCCAGGCCCAAGCCCCGAGTTAGTTAATTCTCAGAAACGGACGAAGGTATGGGAAGGAGAGCGGGAGACCTGGACAGCAAGTGGCCCAGGGGCCCACCCCCATCCAAAGCAGGACAGCAGACGTCTCCACGCTGTTTGTAAAACCAAATAAATATTAGGGTGCCAGTTTCTCCCGTTTCAAAGTACATGAGGAGGTGGGGAGTTAGGAGAAGGGTGAGGGGCGGATTAACCCCTGGCTGGCGACTCCTTTGTCTGGCCTGGACACTGGCTGGAGGCCGTCGTCGCGCCGGAGCGGGGAGCGGACTTCCAGGCGCCTGGCCCCGCAGGTGTGCGGCGCGCCCGGGCTCTGCGGCAGCTCGGTGCGGTCCCCGCCTAGGTGTCCGAGACTGCTCAGCCCACGTGCGATCCAAGCGGGACTGCACCCAGATACCTCCCGGCGCGCAGCCGGGAGAGCTTGAAGTCTTGCGACGTTCAGATTTTTAAAACTGGAATGAATTGGGAAAACAGTAGGGCTCTTCCCACTGTAGATTAGAGGTGGGGTGCCTTTTTTTTTAAAATTATATCTTGTTGTGGCAGTTGTTTCTGACCTTTCTTACTATTTAAAGAAATGTTGCCACATTTAATTTTTGTTGCCAAGAGATATGGAGAGGGTAGCCCAACATTTTGAAGTAATTTGATAAGCCTTCAAGTAGCAAATCCGAAAGGGAGGCTGGCGGCCCAGGTATAGTTTCTTTATAACCTGAATTTACAATGAAAGCATTCTCCTTTATGGATATAATAGATTAGATTTCACAACTTAATTCTCCGCAATGGCTCGGTTTAAGGGAGCCCCGGCTGATTTTATTACTCCGAGCCAAATTGGATGTTTGTGGTCTTAACGAAAAGCGATTGTGACATAAAATATGTAATTTTAAAGTAAAAAGCAACGGGTTCGACCCCGTCTCCTCCCCGTCTCCGTCCTTCCTGCTAGCCCCCAATCCCCCAGTTTGGGAAATGCCAAGAACTACTGGTGTTAGTCCGCGTCTCCCAGGGACACTGGAGCCCAGGCGGGCGGGGGCTGGGAGGCCTGGCTGGCCTTGAGCACACGGAACGGCTTCCGAGCCCGCAGCTGTGCATCGCCCGGAACGTTGGCGCTAGCCCCGGGTCTCTGTCCACTCCGGCGACCGCAGGGGTTCCCCTCGTCAGCGCACAGGGACAAGGAGGCGCGCTCTCACCGGGCGTCTCTGGCTCTGCATGGTGCAAAATAGCTGCATCCCCGCCCGCGAACTCCGCCTGCAGCGACTACCGGACTCCCAGCACCCACCGTGTGCCGCGCCCGAGCCGGTCAGGACTGCCCTGCGCGGCCCGTGGGGAGTGGGCGTTGGCGCAAGGAACTTTCCAGGCCCAGCCACCCCGTTTCTGAGCGCCCGGAGCCCGCCCTCTCAAGCCTCGGCCTAACAAGGACAAGGGTCTGAGTGGCCCCGCCCGGGTCTGGCCCGCAGCGCCCATGGCCCACTCAGCCATCACTTCTGATTAAGGTCGGCCCTATTCCACAGACCGCCGCGTCCCCTCCCATTTTGGCGTGCTTTATTGAGGACTGATTTTGTCCCCCTAGAAGCGGAAGGTGGAAAGCAGCATGAGCGTAGTTGGCCCCTGCCCCTGGCCACTCAGACCAGGCCTGAGACCCCTGCTAGGACGCTGGGAGCCAGGCCTGGTGTCCCTGGCCCTCCACAGCCGCAGGGACAGCCCGGAGTCCCGCGCAGGGAGGACACGAGCATGCCGTGCGTGGCCCGCGGGCTGCGGGGGAGCGCCTTAAATTAAATCTTCGCAGCGCCTGACCTTGTTCTTTCCTCGGGCGGATAACGGCAGCAGCTGTTTTTTCCAGAATTCCTGCTGCTGGGGGAGGGGCGCTATTATTATTATTTTTGGTTGTCACAGTCTCCTGGAAACATTCCCTGGCCTCAGAGAAGTGTAACAATAGCCCAGCGAATTTCAGGAGGAAGCCCTCTCCCCTCCTTTCTCCAGGGACTCTGCCCTCAGGCTGCAGTGGGCCCTCCTCCCCTGCTGGACCCAGCCTCCTCCTTGGCCCTCAGAACCCACCTTGGGATTCGGAGGCCCACTTTGCCTGTGGAGCCTGGCCCTGGTCACTCTGGGTCACAGCTCTGAACCAACCCTGGAGATGGAGGGAAGTTGGTGGTGTCTTCCAGCATCACCAGGCGCTGGGGTCAGAGTGCCCTGCCCCAAGCCCACTTCAGGTGACCCTTCACCAGGGCCCTCTTTAAGGCACTTCCCCAGCACTCCACCCCTGCTCAGTGTTTGGAAGGGAGGTCCCCTCCCCGGGAAGCCTGCCCCTGTTTGCTTGGGGGTCAGCACTAGCCCAGAGGCAGTTGGAGATTAAGCATCTTGGCATGGGGCAAGTGGAGGAGGGGGCCTGAGAGGACTCTGGCCGGCTTTTGTTCCCTCTCTGCTGGACCCCTCCCTGGGCCACTGCTGGCCTCTGCACACAGCTCCCCAGTTCACCAGTGCTGCTGCCTACCCCACTGGAGGGCTGGGCAGTGGGTTCAAGCGGGGGACAGCCACTGGCCCCTCTTCAGTGGAGGAAAGTCAGCAGCCCTAGTGCTAACCACAGACTCAAGGAACCCCCATTTCTGGTTGATGCACCCCCCTGAGGACGCCAGCACATCCATCTTTTGGAAGGAGGGACTGCTCTCTTGGCCTTCTCCGGCCGGGTAGGGTGGGCAGCCTCCTCCTCCAGGGCCTGTGAGCCCCAGCCACGGGACTGCTCTGCAGCACAGCCCAGCAGCCTCACGGGAACTTGCCCAGTGGGACAAGGAGCCCAAAAAAAGTGATCGTGCCCTGAAAGTGCTCTGGGAAGCCAGGCTGGCCAGCCACTCTGGCAGTGTAGCTGGCCTGGGCCTCCTGGGTATCAGACAGGGCACGTGTGTGTGTGAGTGGGTGTTGGGGGTTTCGGGGAGCTCAGGCCCACATTTCTATCCTACCTGCATGGGTGCTTGATCAGGAAGGGGAGGCCAGCAGGTCTCGGCCACTCCCTTTCCTCCCCCAAGCCAGAGGCCTGGAGGGGCCTCTTAGTGTCCAGGAGTCCCCAGGATCCTCTGACCCGTTAGCACCAGAAGCAGCTCCACATGGGAGCCTTCAGGACCTGCCCTGCCCTGTAGTGCTCCGCTGGCTGGGCCTCACCCTGCCTCTGGACTTATTGACACTTGTGTCATGCCAGGCCCGCACGGAGGGCAGGAGTCAAACTTCAGTCTCTGGGCCATTGTGGCGGCAGGGACCAAACTTCATTAATGGCTGTTACACCATAAAATATATAAAATGACCCCCACTTGTGATTTTAGAAATGCAGTTTGTTAAATTTACGTTTTTAAGTACTTCTGGAGCTTGATGGGGGTTGTTAGGGCATGGCTGGGGGGTGAGCCCAAAGCCCCTTCCTTTGGAGGGACCAGAGATGAGATGAACCTGAGTAGCAGGAACCAGCAGCCCTGGCCGTCGGCTGGCAGGAGATGACTGTCATGGGCTGCCTTTAAAAGCAGCAGAGAAAGACCACTCAGTGGCCTTGTCCTCTAGGCCTGACTGCTACTGAGGGAGCTGACGGAAGCATTCCTGAGCCACACATCCGGAAGCCAGCTGGGCAGGACTGTCCCCTAGGGACCCGGGACCTTGGGCACAGTGGGTTGCCTCCCACTGTGGGCTTCTGGGCAGGTTCCCTAGGTCAGGAAGCAGCTGGATGCCCCCCACCCTCAGGAGCTCTCCATTAGATCTGGCCCCAGAGGAGGCAGCCCCTCGTGCCTGGCCTTGTGACTCCCCTCTTCCATGGATTGATTCTGGGTCTTTTCAGCCTCCAGAGAGTACTGGATGCCATATGGGATACCAAGGCCCAAGGGCCCAGACAGCCGCTGTGTGTGCCCCCTGGGTCTCCTCCTGCACCTGGTGTCTGCCCACTGAGCACCGTGCCCAGGCCACTTCCCGGATGCCTTGGCAGGGAGGGAGCCACACCCTCTGCCCCTTCCCCAGCTACACACAGACTCGGGGTACAGCAAGAAGCAACCCCCGCCTGCCGGAGCAGAAAGAAGCACACTGCAGGATACAGAGGGGAGAAGCCTCCGGGGAGAGTCCAGCCGCACACAGGAGGGATTGGCTTTGCACCTCAGAACAGGGCCCTTGAGGATGGGGTGGAGCTCAGGGTAGGGTGCTGGCCTAGCCTGGGCTCCATCCGGTGCCGGGCTGCATCCCGAGCAGGCACCGGAGAGCAGAGAGCAAAGCGTGTGAGGCACTGCCGCGTGGAACTTCCTGAAGACCCTGGAAACGGCCCGGCCATGGCCACCACAGCATCTGCAGTCACCCTGGCTTCAGACCCAGCTGGAGCTTGTCTTCAGTGTGTGTGCACACACACGTACACACGCACACCTGCACGCACACCATCAGAGCCAGAGCTCCCCACCTCCCCCTGCCCGCAGACGCAGTGGAGCCCTGGAGAACTGGTACCAAGGCGCCTTGCCCTTCATGCCACTCTGCAGGGCCACCTCTGAACCCCTCTTCAGGTCACTGCCAGCCAGTGGCCTTGGCCTGTCTGACCCTGGAGCTCCTGAGGGGGATTCTCTGCTGCCGCCCTCCCCCGTCCACCCTGGGCCTTGCCCCTCCCCTCTTATTCTGGGAGCCTCCTCCTGCTGAGTTAATTGGCAAACTTTCCCAGAAGTAAACTTGAGGATGGAAATTAATAATTTTCCTGGTGTTGCACTCCTTCTAATCAGGCCAGCTGGGAGGAGGAGGCTGGGTGCACAAAGGACCCCAGAAAAGCCATCAGCACCAACGAGATCTGCCAGGGGCCAGCCCCCCCCCCCCGCCCACGCCACTTAGCAGCTCTGCAGCCCCAGTGCCGGAGACAGGGACATCAGGGTGGTTCACCAGGGAAGGGTTTGAGCCATCCTCACACCCCTCGTCCCCAGGCCAGGCAACCAGTTCTGGTGGCCACATGGCGTGGGCCCCCCAGGTCCTCTGAGGTGCTTCCAGCCAGAACCTGTCACTCACTGGGAGGGGGAGGAGCCTGGGAGGAGAGGCTGGAGGAGGGCCACTGCCTGCTCCCTCTCGGAGCCCCTCCTTTCAGAGACAAGTGGCCTCGTCCTGCTGGTCCTCCCGGCTCTGGCTCAGAGGTGCATGGTGTTGGTGGCCTCACTCCAACTCTGTCTTACAAGGAGGTGCCGCCCCAGGTCCCCGCCTTCTGAAGCTCTGGCCTTGTCACAGGCCTTTCTCTGTGCATGGCAGGAAATGGGTGGGGGTGGAGGCCAAGGGTATGGCCTCTGTGGCCCTGGGAGTGACAGCTGGGTCCCTGACAGGCCCGTGCCACGCTCGGCTGCCTTATCAGCTCCTGGCCTTCGGAGCCTTTGAGATGGGTCCTCGGAGGCCCTGAGGAAAGCCCAGAAGCCGCGGCCTCCCGGAGTCCAGCATGGGAGATGGGTGTGACTGCCAAGAACCCCAGGTGGTTCCCATCAGGTGGGCCCCATCCATCCCACCCCCGGGGCTGGGCTTCCGGCTGCCCTGGGGGGGGCTCTGCAGGCGGGGTGAGCCGGTGGAGGTGGCTGAGTCGGTCATCTTTCCCTGTTCATGAGGCTCACTGCCCACTTCAGCAAAGCTAACTCCCCGGGAAGCTTCCCAGGGAGCCAGAGATGAGAGCAAACCCAAAGGGGGACTGGCAGGGGGACCGACGGGCCAAGGAGGCAAGAGGGATTCCTGCTGCCCTGGGTGACGGCTCAGGCAGCCACCCAGTTCCACACTGGCAATGTGATGATGGCCCTGGAGGAGCTAGGGCACGCTCAGGCAGGGCCAAGATGGCACAGGGGTGGGGGGGCATGGCCTCTGTGGGCTCCAGGCCAGCACCACAGCCAGCAGGTGCCACCTCAGATTCTTGGCCAGGCCCTGTCCACCTGAGCGGTGCTGACCCCTCCCAGGGCCTGGCGGCTGTGGAACTGCTTTGTCCCTCAGCCACAGGGACATAGGGTAGGGTGGAAGGGAAAACTGTCACTGGCTAGTACCTGAACTCGGTATGTTTATAGCAATAGCACTCTGGGGCCCCGCGGCTATGATGCCATGGAAATGACATGACACAGTGTGGATTTGTGTTTATACAAATTTTATTTGTATGATTTCATGCTAAACCTCAAATAAATGTTTCCTTATGTGAAAAAGAGAAATAATGTTACAAATGAAAATATGAAGCCCAGAGAGGGTCAGTAATTTGCCCAAGGCTACACAGCAGGATTTGAACCAGATCTGTCTATCTGAGACACACCCTTGTCTAAGTTAATGTTTGGTGGATTAATTATAAGTCATCATCCCATCTGACAGGGCCCTCCTCCTGCCCAGGACAGTGCCTGTGGCTCTTGACTGGGCAGCTGACCTGGCTTGCTAGGTTAGACAGGCTGGAGAGGCAGCTTCTGGGGGCCAGGAGCTCCTACCTCACCCCACAGCTGTGGGGTCTGGACAGAGCAAGGGTACTGGGGTGGCTCTGCTCAGATGTCCCTAGGAAGAAGCTTGTCCTGACCCCTTCCCCTCCTGCCTGGTTAGACCTACCTACTGATGGTTCCCCTGTAGCACAAGCTGGGGACCTGGGGGACTTCAGGCTGTCCCCTTCTCCCCCGGGCCATGGGCGGTGACAGGCCTCTGCGAAGGTCTGGGTGCCGTGCCAACCTCAGGAGAGCTCTGGAGGATGCTTCTGGACCACATGGACATTTTGCAGGTGGCAGTCACCCCAGTGAGACCCGGGGTCTGAGGACACCCTGTCTCCTGGGTTGAGGACCCCGGCCTCATCCCAGCCCAGCTCCGGTCCTGCCCACATGTCTCAAGGCCACCTGGTCCTCGCCTCCGGGCTCACTGCTCTGCACCTGTTTTCATCCATTTCAGGTCCACACTGCAGAGAGCCCAGACAGGCCCCAGCCGTCCTGAACGGGGCCTGAGTTCGGTCCTGCCCCGCCCAGGCCTGGGGACGGCTTTCCCAGGCCACATCACTGGCCTGCAGGGAGACCCAAGAGCTGGGTGAGCAGGGCCAGGAAGGCACGATGCCAACAGGTGCCCGAGCCGGCCCCAGCGACGGGCTTCTCCAGAGTCGGCCGTGGACTCCATCGGGACGTTTTCCCTGAAGAGGAATTTGGGCCTGCGCTCGCTCGCTGACGGCGGGCTGGGCTGGGACGCGCTCCCACCTGCTCTGGCCCTGAAGGCAGCAGGTCCCAGGTGGCTCTGGGGCAGGCGGAGGCCAGGGGGTGCAGCCTGGCCCCTCTCCACAGAGCGCTCTGCCTCTCTCTGCCCGCCATGGCCCAGCAGGGGCCTCCCCACGCTGCGCTCCCAGCCTGTGGGCACTTCACTCTGTCCTTCGGCGAGGCCTCCCCAGGCCTGTCCCGGGTCTGCTCTGTGGGCAGGTTTGCCAGGCCCTCACGGTCCCAACCCCGTGCCCACCTGCAGCAGCACCCCACTGGGCGTGTGGAGCCAGCACGTCCGTGGACAGCTGTGACAGTGGCCCCCAAAGCCCCAGACTGCACGGCCAGGGGCCTCTCTACCGCACAGCCCACCCTGGGACTCCAACCTGGGGAATCTGGGACGTGTCCCTTTGTCCTCTGAGCACTTCCAGCTCAGAGGGAGGGAGAGGGCTGGTCCCACCTTCTTCCAGTACCCACCCGGACCTCAGGGCCACCCCATGCCCAGGGGCCTCAGCAGGGACCCATCCCATTTTCCTGGGGGCTGGTTCCTGACAGTCCTCTCAGGAGCCCCGGCCCGAGCCCCCAGGCCTGGATCTGAGGGTCACGCTGGGGATCAGATCCCTGGAGAGCTGCAGGACACAGGCGTGTCCTTGCCTGCCCCCACCCCACCTCCAGGCCAGCACGGGTCCCCTCTTCTCCCTGCCTGCCCCCAGCTAGCTCAGGTGCCCCCTGCAGGGGCCGAGTTCACAAGAGGGTCGGATGCGCCTCTGGCGTGGGAGCCCGGCTGCACAGTGGGACAGGGCCAGTAAAACGGAGTTTTGTACACAGGTGGTGTGGCCCTCCGCAGGACTGTCCAGACGTTTCCCGGGCCCGACGTGAAGGCCCTGTGCTTAGAGGAGATGCCACTGCACCTGGGTGTGAAGTCCCATGGTGCCAGCCACTCACAAGCGTTGACAATGGCCAGGTGCAAAGGCCACGCCTGTCATCCCAGTGGCTTGGGAGGCTGAGGCAGGAGAATTGCAAGTTCAAGGTCGGCTTCAGCAGCTTAGTGAAGCCCTAAGCAACCTAGCAATATCTCGTCTGTAAAGAAAGAAAAGGGCTTGGGGTGTGGCTCCGTGGCAGAGCACCCCTGGATTCAAGCCCCAGGCCCCACAGCCAGCGGACCTGTGTGTTTTGTGGTGCCACCGAGGGCAACCAGGGCCTCGCCCTTGCTAGACCAGTGCTGTGTCACAGAGCCACAACCCCAGCCCCGGGAATTGTGAATAAGGGAAGAGAGAGAGGAGAGGAAAAGGGCAGACAGGGTAAGACTCAACAGGCAGAAGGACATTTTATTTGTGTAGAATTTTAACATACTCCTTGACCACTGTCCAGAAATGGACTCCGGCTCACTCACGCCATGAGCAGGTATTTGGGCTTTCAGTGGGGAGGGGGCTGGCCCTGTCTCCATGGTAACAGCCCCAGAGTGGACCCTGGATGATCTCCCAGGCCAGACATTCAAATTCCAGGAAAGCATCCCCGATGACCTCGCTCTGTCTAAGGCTGTTTTGGCCCGTGGCCGGTCCCCCAAAACACCCCTGTCCCTGGGCCATGGAACCCGGGCCTTACGGGTGCTTCTCCACACGAGCCTGTCACACGCAGGATGCTGTCAGCGCAGTCACACCTACAGAACCTTCCAGCTCCACCTGCAGCACGCTGCAGAACGCCAGCCGTGTCCCTTTGTGACCGCGTGGCTGACTGGCAGTGAGTGGTGGCTAGCGGCTGCCACCCAGCATCTCGAGGACCATGGACATGTCAGTAACCCAAGAGGTCAAAATTCAAAGGACAGTTTCCCCTGCAGCCCGTGGAGTTGAGAATCACTGAGTGGAACCATCTTTCCTTGGGATCGGTCTGTGCAGTTACCATCTTTCTTATTTCATAGGAGAGAGTGGGGGCCTCATGGATAGAAGCCGTGTGCCCAGGTCCACCCAGGGAGTGGGGGCCAGTCCTGGTCTGTGTCCCCAGCCAAAGGAGAGATGTGGGCCTGACCCCCACCCAGGGCTCCTGCTGACCAGATGCCAGGACATCCCCAGGGGTCAAAGCCCACAAGCCTGGTGCCCACCCACACATCGCAGCACTCTCAGGATGGCGTGGGGACGCTCTGCTGACCTGGGGCTGGCCCTGGGCTCGGGCTGGCCTGAGCGAGCTGCTGGCATCCCGGCATTTCATGTTGGCAAAATGCAAACCTCCGACGAGGGGGCAGCCAGGCCAGCAGCAGGGGTCGGCAGAGATGGGCTCCAGGCTGACGCAGGTGTCCCTGGACCACACAGCCTCACTCCCGGGCTCCCAGGCCCTCCCTGGCTCTGGAGCATGCCTCAGGGACAGCACTGTCCCTGTGCTGCTGGGGACAGACATCTACTTCCTGTGAGGAGGACCAGTCAGCCCTCTGTGGAGAGGCCCCCAGGGCTCTCTGATTTTCAGAGTGTAGGCTGGACACAGATGTGCCTTAGCTGCTGGTCTTAGAGTTGCTGCCCAGCCCAGTCCTGGACGGGGCCCCCTGCCCCTGGAGGTCCTCATCAGCCTGGAGAAGACCCCAGCTCCCCCAGAGCTCCAGGGGGCCCAGGAGGCCCTGCTCACCCCCGGGGGTTTGCCTGTTCAGTTTGCTTTTCGATTACATGACAGAGACCTTCACCAGAAAGTGACGTGGCCTCATGGGGGGCAGGGTCCACGTCCAGCTCCAGACCTGGACCTCCAGTCTTCTGTGTGGCCTTGGCCTCCCCGGAGTTCCAGCCGATCAACCTGAGTCCCTCTCTGCCAGAGCCAAAGCAGGTGGGGGCATCTGCTCCTCAGGGCTCCAGGCTGGGGCTGCCCCAGGCCCGATTCTGCCTCCCGAGGCCCTGCTGGCCTCCCCTCCGGGGTCTCTCCTGGTCCACTCCTGGGCACATCCACCCACAGCATGGGGCCCTGGGCAGTCCCCAAGACCACAAGCACCCCTTCATCTGTGTGTCCCTGAGCAGTGGTCAGTGGGCCCAGGGCAAGGGCTTGTGTTCCTCTGAAACGATGGCTGGGCTGGAGCCGGGAGCACTGCCCCTGCCAGACCAGAAGAGCCGTAGGCTGGCCGTTCTGAACCCTGGCCAGGCGGGCTCTGACCTGCACCTGCTGGCGGGACCTGGGCAGGCTTTCTGGGCCCCGTGGGTGTGGAAATGTCTGACTCTGCTCCCTGTCATCTGGACCTCGCCTTCCTCCCATCAGGGACAATGACCCCTGGTCACCAGGTGCCCAGAGAACAGGAGCTGGGCTCCTGGAGGGAGCAGGCCGGCACCCTTGGCCCTGGACGCTAGCCGGCTGACACCCCTGACCTGCTGGCTGCGGTGGCCTGGTTCCCTGGGCTGGGAGACTTTGCTCTTTTCTCTGCAGGAACATGTTCCTGTCCTCCTCTCCCTGCAGGCCTGCTGGTCCCCAGGATGCTGGCTGTCCTCGTGCAGGGTGCTCCTGGGCAGGTCCTCCCCACTGCTGCCAGGACCCTGCCCACACCTCCCCAAGGTCATCCTGAAAAGGCAGACGGTTGGGGTGGCAGTGGCCACCAGGCACTGCCCCACACTGGACTCCAGAGGAGGGTCCCCAAGGACGGGGGGAACCTCCACCTCCCACTGGCCCCTCCACCAGGGGGGCCAAGAGAGAACTGGTTCCTGGGCCCAGGACACCTGCTCATGTGATCCAGGTAGGCAGGAGGAGGGAGCCAGGTCTTGGGAGCCCACAGTGGCTTGGGGGGGTGTGAATGAACCGTCTAGAGGCAAGAACCTGAGACTCAGAGAGGTGGTGCAAGGGCCGGAAGCCACGCAGCCAACAGGCAGCAGAGGCAGGTGGCAATCTTGAGGCTCAGCCGCTCAGGTGCGCCAGTGGGAGGTGGTGCCCAAAAGGAGCACCTGAATTCCAGGTTCCCCCCGGGAGAGGCGGCTGCTGCTTCAGAGCCAGGGAGCACACCAAAGGGCCCAGACACTGGGCCTGGAGGCCTGTGTGGGCGTGGGAGGAGGGCTGCCCCCAGACACCTGCCCGCCCCAGGCCTGGGCGGGGCTTCCCATCCTGAGTCTCACTTCTCCTGGGGCCCAACCAGGTGAGTCACCCAGCCTGCCACCTGGCAGACAGGAATTACCAGTGGGAAGGACAGAGGAGGATCTCCGCGGGGCCTAGAGG